CTTCCTGATATATTGCTTTAATTGTTTGTAAAAAGTGCTCTCCTATTTGCATTTTTTGCAATATTTTTTAGCAAAAATTGCCAATTCACTCGATCAAAGGCTTTCTCAGCATCTAAAAATATAAGCACAGCAGGGATTTGGTGGTTCTTTCCCAGGTATTCTAATGTATTGAGAATTAGTTTTACATAGCTTCTCATTTGTCTCCCTTGAATAAAACCTGTTTGATCATTATGAATCAATTGCTGAATAACCAACATTAACCTATTCCCTAGTATTTTAATAAAAATGTTATAATCTATATTGAGTAATGATATAGATGTTTTCTCCACTTCTTGATGACCGTCTTCATTGTGTTCCATGGTATAGCCAATACCTTGGAAATTTTTGTACCCTTTTTTTGTGACTGATGCCTTCCAACAACGAGATCCCTTTGATGCTTTGTAAACTCTTAGCAGACCATGGCTTTTTCTCTAAGAGGCAACTGAGTAAATGTCAGGACAATCCTATTAAAACAACTGAACTTTATATAAGCTTGATCAGAGACACTAATTGATGGCAGGTGTGTACTGACTACTGTTTAATATGAGTTTGAATGTGATTGGTTAATTCTGAACACATCTATATTCCTATTTATAAGAAGATGTGCATATTTATTGTATCCGTATTATTTTAAGGTTTTTTTATTTTTCTGCCCTGAAAGATTTGTTTATTTTTCCATTGAATTGTGCAGCTTATATGTTGTATTAACAGTGGAAAAATTCTGAAGTGATTTGTCTGTCTTTTATATCTCAAAAACCTGATATTTTAACAGGAGTGTATAGACTTTTCATATCTACTATATGCTGTTAAACATACTACTGCACAATAATCAATGCTGCTTACTTAATTCTAATTAAAGTTCAAAATTAGCACGTTATATAATAGAAGTTTATACTTGGATCCAAAAAGGGAAAAGTATTTTCTGGTGTGAGCATATTTGTTATATCTGATAGCAGTACCTTTAAAAACAGGTTTTCTTGGGCAAGCACTGTAGTCACGTAGTCCTGAAAAATGTGGGTTATAAAGTCAAAACATATTTCAGAAATATTTTTGATGTTTGATTTCTGAGGTAACTTCAGTGTATTTCAGTTTTAAAAATGTTTTGTGAAATCAATATGTTTTTCTTAATATTTGAGGGGAAGAATCATTTTTAAATTTTGTTTTATATATTTCAGATAATACTACTATAGAGAAATTAAGAGCTATCTGTTTAGACCATGCAAAACTTGGGGACAGCAGCCTTAGTCCATCCCTTGATTCTCTGTTCTTTGGACCTTCTGCTTCACAAGTGCTATATCTTACAGAGGTTTGTGTAGAGTTAATATTTTGGCTAAGTGTAGAGCCAGTTTGGCTTAGTGGTTAAAGCATCAAGATAGAAATCAGACGACCATAAGTCTTTGGCCACAAAGCTGGCTGCAGTGGCATTGAACCAGTCACTTTCTCTCAACCATAAGAAGGAGGAAATGGGAAACCACTTCTTGAAAAACCTTCACAAGAAAACTACAAACTTGTCCAGGCAATTTCTGAGAAGTGGACACAATTGAATGGAAGAAAAAAAAGACATGTATCACTCCAGCGTTGATTTTTTTAAAAAATGTTTCTGGTATTCAGGCATCGTTTTAATAACTGAAAGAAAGAAGCTTGTAATTATTTTGAGATAACATTTTCCCGAAGTGATTAATTTAATACTATATTTTTTAAAAAAAATATCTTCTTATGTTATTTAGGTTTAGGTTTATTAGATTTATATGCCGCCCTTCTCCCAAGGACTGAAATGTCTCTGGGTTCTGGTTTGTGGAATTGTAGATATCATTTGAGAGGGGGGCTTATTTATTCCTTATATTATTAATAATAATAATATTAATATATTATTTAATTTTGAGATTTTTAGACAAGGGACATAGGGAAAACCTGGGGTTTCTGGAAGTTGGGTGGCCTTAAACATATAATACAATTATTATTGCTATGTATAAAAAATGTGAAATCACAGCTGTTAGTTCTTTAGCCAATGTTGATCTTCATATGCAATTGATTCTTTCCAACTAGTATGTCATAGTATATCAGGGTAGTATATGTGCAGATCAAGCAGTATTGCCTTTTGCAATAGACATGTGGAAATTTTTGTCAATCATATATTTACTAAGTGCTGTCCAAGATTTTTTTGGTATGGCATCCAGCGTGTCGATAACTACTGGGGCCCTCGCAGGCAGTTTATGCCACAATCTTTCAAATTCAGTTTTTGGATCTTGATATTATCATCATCATATTAATGTGTGTGTGTGTGAATGTATGTGTGTATGTATATATGTGCGTGCGCGCGCATGCACACACATACACAATCCTGCTGTCTAATGACTGAGTTTTGAAAGCAATTTTATTAAAGTGACATTTTTGTATTTTTTTCTCTATATTTTCCAGGTAGTTTATGCCTTGTTAATGCCTGCCAATTTGCCTCTGGGAGAAGATGCTACTGACTTTCAGTTCAATTTCTTAAAAAGTGGTGGCTTACCTCTGGTGTTGAGTATGCTGACTAGAAATAATTTCTTGCCAAATGCAGATATGGAAACAAGAAGGGGGGCCTACCTAAATGCTTTAAAAATAGCAAAGCTACTGCTGACTGCAATTGGTTATGGCCACGTGAGAGCTGTGGCAGAAGCTTGTCAACCAGTTGTAGAGGGTACAAGCCCAATGTCACCGGTAACCATAATTATTTTTGTATAATTTTTATTTTTGAATAACTAAACAACAAAAAAGTAAAGTTAAAAAATAGAAAAATAAAAAGTGTTAGAAACAATATAAATAAAGAAAAAAGTTAAAGCCACAGTTTCCAATCCTTTTTAAAAAAAATACCTATTCAAATCCTGTTCTCATTTACTTTTCCCATTGGCATTTGAACGAAATAAATTTATCTAGAGTTCTGGAAACTAGGTTTTATTTCCTCTCCTTTGTCATTTTATTAGCATACATTATTTTCTGTATGAATGCTTCCTGCTGTTATCTTAAATTTGAAATAATTATTTGGACCTTTTGGTCACATAAGGCTTATTTCTCCATCAGGAGCCATTTAATGATCACAGTTGGTAAGGTGCCAGTGAAAGGATAGTAAATAAGTAAACAGAGAATAGCATAAGTGAGAAGTGAAAATTCATAAATCTTAATCTTACCTGCATTCAAATATCAATAACTATGCTGGCTTTTAGGAAAACCATTAAGATCTGGTTATTTAAAAGCCATTAGGAACTGATAAAATGATATAAGGTTCCTACCCTTATATCCAGTGATTGGCTGATTACTGGTAGTGTAATTTTTTGGAGTGATGATGAATATGAAAGGTTTTCTTAATATCTGTTTGGTTTGTGCTACAAATTTTATATTTGTTTTATTCCAAAGTTTGTACTATTTTGAAAGTTGCTTAATGTCTTGTTTGCATTGAGCATCATAGACTTGTAAATAGACATACAGACAAACAGACAACAACTCAGGATTTATGATGGAAAAGAAAGTACGGGAAGTCCTCAACTTAACAGCAGTTCATTTAATGACCATTCAGTTACATCAGCACTGAAAAAAGTGACATGACTTTTTCAGTTGCATTAAGTTTTATAATACGATGATATTAAAAGTTTGTATGAGATGAAATCTGTCATAGAGAAATTATCTGTACAGTACTTTTTTAATAAACTTCATATCATAAGGATAAATGAACATTCATATTAATATTTTTTGTTGTATTTGTATAAAAGAAGTGGAAAAAATGTTCTGAATATACTTTTACTGTTGAACAGAATGTGTTATCCATTTAATAATACTAATAAATGAACATAAATTGTTGCAGATCAACCAAGCGACTCATGACCAGGCGGTGGTGTTGCAAACTGCTCTGCAGAACATTCCCAATCCAACTTCAGAGTGCATGTTAAGAAATGTAGCAATACGCCTTGCACAGCAAATATCTGATGAGGTTAGTATGGTTAGATATTGAGCACTTCCAAACTCTTTGGCTTGAAGACTGGGATTGGCTGCAGTAGATGATTAAGCTAATTTAGGTAACTAAATTGTGTTTCTGTGAGTGATACAAAACTATGGATTGCTGTACTATGGATTCACTTTTTTTTTAATTGAATATTTTGAAAAAAAAACTTTTACAAATGTTTACTTCCCTCCCCTCCCCA